ACGCGAGGCCGTTGGTTTGGACTTCGTCGCCAGCCCTTTGGGCGTGAGTGGTTTAGAGAGCCCGCTCTGTTCTCAACCCCCTTCTTCCCCTTCGGGGAGGGGTTTACCCCTCCCCCTACCCCCTCCCCCTGGGCCTGGAGAGGGCGCCCCGCGGGTGGTTGGAGGGGTCTTTTTCGACTCCTGTCAGGGGGACGTAAGACCTGGGTACAGGGGACTCGGAAATCCCCGACGAGGTCGTCAAAAAAATGACGAGGCCGAGCCTGCATTTTGACGAGGCCTCCCGCTGCAGACATCCCACGAAACTCCTCCTCGTCAAAATCCGAGGCGCGGTCGTCAAAAAACGATGGCGAACCCGAGTCCTGGCAAACCCAGGTCTTACGCTCCCCCGATCCTGGGAGGGCTAAAATTCGACACCCCTCACGAGGATCGTGGCCCCGACGGGGGGAGGCAGAAAAATGCTCGCCCCATCTCTGATCGATCGCCCGAAAGATGGCCCCAAGATACCTCCCAGACCCCTCCCAAAGAGCCCCAAGAGGCCCCCAGAGGCCTCCAAGAGGCCCCCAAGATGCCCCCAAGAGGCCCCCAAGAGGCCCCAAGAGGCTCCCCCGAGGCACCCAAGACGCTCCTGGAAGCCCCTGGAGCCGCCAAGAGGCCCCCAAGACGCCCCAAACGGCCTCCAAGAGGCTCCCAAGAGGCCCGAAGAGGCTCCCCCAAGGCACCCAAGACGCTCCTAGAAGCCTCTGGGGCCGCCAAGAGGCTCCCAAGACGGCCCAGAAGGCCTCCAAGAGGCTCCCAAAAGCTACTACTACTACTACTACTACTACTACTACTACTACTACTACTACTACTACTACTACTACTACTACTACTACTACTACTACTACTACTGCTACTACTACTACTACTACTACTACTACTACTACTACTACTACTACTACTACTACTACTACTACTACGACTACTACTACTACTACTACTACTACTACTACTACTACTACTGCTACTACTACTACTAACTACTACCACTACTACCACTACTACCACTACTACCACTACTACCACTACTACCACTACTACCACTACTACTACTACTACTACTAACTACTACTACTACTACTACTACTACTACTACTACTACTACTACTACTACTACTACTACTACTACTACTACTATGACTCACACCAGGAAGAAGGGCCCGAACGACTCACACCAGGACGAGAAACCCCAAACGACTCAAACCACGAGGAGCGCTTTCTCTCCCTCCTCCTCCGCCTCGTCCTTCTCCCGCTCCCACCACAAGGAGGATGTACAAGGAGGCGGGAGGAAGGAGGAACAGGGGAGATATGCGGGGGCAGGCGGAAACACGCCTGAAAAACACGACTGTCGGCATGCTTCGCAAGAGTTGCTGTTTTGAGATGGGCTGGTGGGGATACGCGAAGCGTGAAGAATTTCTCAGAAACGCAACAAAAGGGCCTCTGAGGGAGTCCTTGGGATGGCTCGGGGAGCCGGTTTTCTGAGGATGTCCCACGCGAGGCCGTTGGTTCGGACTTCGTCGCTGGATTTCCGGGAAACTGAGCAGGTGAGGCGGTTGGCGGGCCCACTCCCTCGCAGGCTGGGGGTCAGGAGGACGTGAGTTCTCAAGACGAACTCCCTCAGATTAGCGACTGGGGCACATTTGCCTGAGAGTTTGCAACAGTTTCACGGATGGAGGACGGCTCCTTTTCACAATGCGGCCCTCGCCTTAGCACTGGTCACGTTCGTCTTCAAAATTCGCAGCAGCTTCGGTGCTGGAGGGCGGTGTCTCTTCAAAATGTGACTCTCGCATTAGCGCCGCGCGCATTCATTTTTAAACGTTGTAGCAATCTCACGGATGGAATACGGTTCCTTTTCAAAATGTGGCTCGCGCTTGAGCGCCGCGCACATGTGTCCCCCAAACTTGCAACACTTTCACGGATAGAGAGGCCAATTCCTTTTCAATATGTGGCTCTCGCCTTCGCGCCGGGCATATTCGTCTTAAAAGTGAGCAAGAGTTTCAAGTATGGAGGCCTGATGATTTTCAAACTGTGTTTCTCGTCTCAGCGCCGCGCACATTCGCCTTAAACGTGCAAGCGTTTCACATCTGGAAGGCGGCTCTTGTTTAACATGTGGTTCTCGCGTTAGCCCCGCGCGCATTCGCATCATACGTTTGCAGCCGTTTTGCGAATTCTCATGGTGGACGTCCCAGGAATTGCGTTATGGCACGAAAGGTGATTGACACGGCGCACCAGTCACGTTGAATCGCGGTGTTCTGGCACGGTGCAGGATCGTCAGGACGCAACAGTAAAGTCGATCCGCGGCGTTAAGGTCAAAATATGCATGTCTGGTCCCACTGCGGATTCTCAGACGGTTGTTTTCCAACGGGGCACTTCCAGCAATCAAAGTAAATTCGTGCAGGGACCTATGAAGAGGGAACTTGCAGGGATGGTTCACTGCAGCATCCCTGATGCGTCTTGAATTTACAGTTGTACTCCTCCTCCTCCTCCTCCTCCTCCTCCTCCTCCTCCTCCTCCTCCTCCTCCTCCTCCTCCTCCTCCCCCTCCCCCTCCCCCTCCCCCTCCTCCCCGTCCCCCTCCCCCTCCGCATCCTCCGTCTCCTTGCCGAGCCCTGGCAAACGAGACAGGGGCCGCTCGCGCGCCGGCCCCGTCCTCCGGCGCCGGCGCCAGGAAGGCGGGCACCTCCGCAGGCGTGGAGGCGAGGAGGAGGGGGAGGCGGGAGGAGGATGACGGAGCTCGCCGTCCCTCCGGCCAATCGCACCCCGAAGTAAGCTGAAGCCACACTAGCTTCAAGCGGGCACTCGGGAAGAATCTACAGGCCAATGTGGCTGGGGACAGCAGCCCGCCTCGTGGTTCCGGGCAGGCAGCGCGGTCCAGCGGAAGGGGGCGAAGAGGGGATGACGGAGAGAAGAGGAGAGGACGATGAGCGTGCCAGCGGTTGCATCGGCCACGGTCGCGGTCGACAGTCCAGCAACGTGAGAGGTCGCCGTCGCCGGCACAACCGCCGAGGCCGCCACCGAAACGCTAGGCCAGGATGAAACGGACGCGCAGTGACAATCCGAAGCCCAGAGCCGGCGTTCTGGTAACGTGACGTTTGGGTCAAGTTCAACGGGGCTGTTGGAAAGTAAAATGCTTGAGTACGAGACCTATGTTGCATCACAGCAGCCATTCGGCCCCTGACTTTCGTCCTGGGTTCGGCTTAGTGAAGCGATGGATTTCGGGGTCATTACGTTGGACAAAAACATCTCTTCACTGAACTGGGGCCCCTGGGGCCTCAGTGGGCCCTGGGGCCCAAAATTCGTGACGTGATGCTTTTCGGGCCTCGGATTGGGTCGGTTGCGGAGCGCCCTCTGTCGGGGCATCTTAACGCCAGCCCGGGGACCACTCGGGCGGGCCGAGGAGCCCTCGGGGCCCTCCGACGCGCCCCGCGCCGCTCTTGGGCTCGCCCGCCACGGGGCTGCCCCCCGGGAGCCCGGCCCCCGAGAGGGCCCCCGGGCAGCCCCGCGGGCGGCAGCTCGGGCCGGGTGCCCTTGGGGAGGTGGCACGTGCGCGCAGGTTCCTGCACCCCTGTGGAGATGAATCCTGTAGCGCCCCTCGCGGGGGTAGCATGCTGTCACCCTCTTGGCCTGCCGCCCCCTGTCACGTCGTCCCACCCATTCTGTATGCTTGCTGCATCGTCCTATCCTTTCATTTCACGTTGCACGTGTCTCATCTGTCCATGTTCCACGTGTATCATCCATACATACTTTTCCTCCTTGCCAGGCTCGTGGATGATCTTCCCTTTCTATTCCGCTGTCAACTCGCTGTTTCTATTTCGAGTCCGGTAAGATGTTGTTTATCGACAAACCCCTGATCCTTTCTCCTCCTCCACCTTATTGTCGTCGTCCCTTCCGTTTTCTTAGCGTATTTCCTTTTTTCCCTTCTCATTTGCTTTGTCGTCGTCGTTGTCGTCGTATGCGTGCTCCTCCTTCCACTTTTAACTTACTCCGCCATCCCCCTTTCTTCATCCCCCGCCTTTTTGTCATCCTTATCACGCTCCTTTACTTCCATCCACCGTGGAATCTCATGGAGGTTCAGGACGCCAGCGGCTGTCAAACGAAGCCTCGTCCTGTGGCCTGTTTGGGCTCTGTGGGGTCTCTTGGAGCCTCCTGGGCCCTCTGAACCTCCAGAGTATGATTCAAAACGGGTCTTCCTGGAGTCTCGTGGACTCTCCCCGGGCCGCCATGGGCCCTCCTGGAGTCTCCGTGGGCCATCTCGATCTGAGCATTTTCTCAGGGTGGAGGGCTCAGGGTGGAATCCATGTGGGCTTGCACACCTCGGAAATCAATCCGTCTTGTGATTCACTTTTTGCAGATTCGAGCCTCGAAAATCCATCGAAAAGACATTTCAGATTCCACCCTTTGCCCTCCACCAAAAGAAAATACTCGGAACGATAGGAGGGGACTGGGATGGGGGGGACACATCGACCTGAAATCGGCGATACATCGCCGATAGATCGGCGATGTGCCCCAGCAAATCCGCAAGCTCCTGGGCAGATTGGGGCCATCGGGCCCCCATCGGCGATCAATGAGCGACTGGGTGTCGATGCATCTCGTTGCCCCTGACAGGTGCGGCTGCTTCCAGGACCTCTCCCGGGCGGCGTTCTGACCAGAATTTCGAGGCGCATCCAGCGGTGGCGACGAGGGCCTCCCAGAAGGTCCAAGAAGGCGAACGTGAGGGAAGGGCAGAGGTATGGGTATCTCCCCCCCACCTGATAGTCTTAGATCGGGCATGTTCCCCTACAGGGGGCTTTTGGACGAAAAAATCAACATAGCCCCCCTTCAAAATTAAAAACAGTCAAACAATAATCGAAAAATCATCCCCAGACTATTCTTGGTCTATTGCTGAATCTTCCTCCTGTAGATGGACAGGCCCGACTTCATGATAGTCATCCTCCCCTGTCGTTGTGCTTGAGGCCCCCTCCCCACGGCGCCGGTGGCCGGCGGGCTCTGGCAGGCGCCCTGGCGCCCTGGCGAGCCGCCCCGGGGGCCTGGGCCGCCGGCGCCAGCGCCTGAGCTGCCAGGCGGCCGGCGGACGCGCCGGCAGCGGGGCGAGGAGGGGGCGAGTGGCGAGGCTGCAAGGGGCCACCACTTTCCCCCGCCACCCTCCTCTGGTTTTTTCATTTTCCTCCCCGTCCTCCTCCTGCACCACTTTCCTTCTCCTCCTCCTCCTCCTCTTCCTCCTCATCCTGCTCCTCCTCCTCCTCCTCTTCCTCCTCCTCCTCCTCCTCCTCATCCGCCTCCTCCTCCCCCCCTCCCTCCACAATTACTCAATATGAATACTACTCTCCCTCTTCCCCTGATGACGGTTTGAAAGTGGCCGACCACCCCCGCGTACTGTTTTTTAACACACAGGTTTCCCCGGAATTGGGTTTTCGCCTGCATTTTTTCAAAATGCTGCTCTCGCTGAGGCGCCGGCCTCATTTTCGGGCCCCGCTCGTTCCAAATCGTGCTCCCGCTGCAGCGCTGGCCTCATTTCCGTGCTTCCGCTCGTTCCGAATCGTGCTCCCGCTGCAGCGCTGGCCTCATTTCCGCGCTTCCGCTCGTTTCGACTCGTGCTCCCGCTGCAGCGCTGGCGTCATTTCCCGTGCCATGCCACGGCATGCAATGCAATGCTAAGTTGATACTACGCTTTGCGGTGCTCTTCTACGCCATGCCATGCCGTGCTCTACAATGCATCGCGTACCCTTTCGGGATCATTGCCCTGATCGACATCTGACTGAGCGAGTAGAGAGGGGATCTGATCCATGGTAAGGGATGGGAGGGAGGGGTAGGATGTCAGATATGACGCGAGCGCACCTAGCTTGCCCTCCTCCCCCTCCTCCTCCTCCTCCTCCTCCTCCTCCTCCTCCTACTCCTACTCCTACTCCTACTCCTACTCCTCCTTCCTGTCCCCTCTCCCCCTTCTCTTTCTCTCCGTCCTTGTCTTGGGGCAGGATAATCGAGTGGGGCGGACGTGGGGCCTGCTGGAGTGGACCCGTCGTGGCCGAGGGCGCGCACCGACGAGAAGCCCTAAGACCATGGGGGGACATACCCCAGCTGACAACACGCAGGATCCGCTCTCCTCCGCCTCCACCTTCCCAGCTGGCACCGGCGACGGCTCAGGGAACGCCTTGGGAGACTTGCCTTGGCCGAGGGGACTCAAGGTTCCCCCTGGCCGCTGAGACTCGCGCCGCACGAGGAAGTGGTGGCACAGGCTGGCTTAATCCTCTTCGTTTCGCTGGGCTTGGGGTTTAGCGACTGGCTACCCTGGCGCGACGGCTGGCCATTCGCCCCATCGGAGTGGGTGTGGTTCCTCCTCGTCGTCGTCCTCCTCCTCCTCCTCCTCCTCCTCGTCCTCCTCCTTCTCCTCCTCGTCCTCCTCCTCCTCCTCCTCCTCCTCCTCCTCCTCCAAGTCCAGACCTGCAGCGCGTGTCCCCAAGAGCGGGCGCGCCGAATCCAGAGCTCACATGCCTGCACGCGCCTGCCCCACTCGCCCACGCGATCAAGTTGGCACGCTCCCCCCCAGCTTGACAAGTTTCCCCCGCGTCCCCGTGGCCCCGCAGACCCGGCACGAGAAAACTCCCTTGCAAAACTCAAGCCTATGCGAGGGATCGATGCCATGCGGTACCTTGGCGCAGGGGGTTGCAACCCAATCCAACTTCTTTAAATCGGCCGTCGGTCGTGTGTGGCAGAGGGAACATCTTACACCCTTCGAGTCCGCGACGACCCGATGGGCCGATATGGCCGCAGCCGAAACAACCTTGAGCGCCCGCTCCTTGCCCCTGACCCTGGCCTCCTCCTCCTCCTCCTCCTCCTCCTCCTCCTCCTCCTCCTCCTCCTCCTCCCCCTCCCCCTCCCCCTCCCCCTCCCTCCCCTCCTCCTCCTCCTCCTCCTCGTCCTCGTCCTCGTCCTCGTCCTCTCCTCTCCTCCTCCTCCTCCTCCTCCTCCCTCCTCCTCCTCCTCCTCCTCCTCCTCCTCTCCTCCTCCTCCTCCTCCCCTCTCCTCCCCTCCTCTCTCCTCCTCCTCCCTCTCCTCCTCCTCCTCCTCCCCTCCTCCTCCTCCTCCTCCTCCTCCTCCCCCTCCTCCTTCCCCTCCCCCTCCTCCTCCTCCCCCTCCTCTCTCCGGGAGCTGTGGGCCCTGTCGCTTCCCCCCCCCTCTCCGCTCTCAGCAGCCCCATGCGGTCATGGAGCCGTGGGAGCGAAGAGCAGACCGCTGGACAAGCGACGGCGACGTCGGCGTGGGAAAAAAAACTCCTCTGGAGTTGTGTGGTTCCCATCGTACTTCAGGACCACATCCTAGCACCCAGAACAGTACCGAGGCAGTGTCGAGCGAGTATGGCCTCCCAGGGCCCGCCACAAGAAAACCCTCAAGTTTCGGTGCTTCCTTGGTGCACAATACTCTTTTTGGTGATCAAGGCTGCGGCAGGTTGGAACATCGGAACTCTGGAGGCGGCCCGGGGGTCTGAGCTGGGCGGGACGCCACGAATCGGTCAGGAGGTGGGGATGTGAAGCCCAGGGAGGACCCCTCCTCGGGTGCTGGGCCCCCTCAGACCCCCAGCCGACTCCAAGATGCATCTGCGATGCATCGGCGACGTCGGCAATGCGTCGATGACGTCGGCGTGGGGAAAATCGCCTCCTCCTCCACCCCCGCTGCAGGCAAGACTCGGATTCATGTCCACTGCGACTTGGAGTTTCGGGTTCCTGTCTGCAAATCACGCCCCTGGGTTGATTTTTATCCGAGCCCAATATGCGCCTCGGCCTTTTGGCACCCCTTCCCAGAAAGTCGAAGTAAGACGCAGTGGATATGGATAGAAAGCTTGCCTGCACCTGGGCGTTGATTACTGGCGGGGGGGCAATCGATTGTCCGGAAGAAGCGTTCGCCTTTCGCTTGATTACTGGCGGGGGGGCAATCGACTGTCCGGAAGAAGCGTGCGCCTTTCGCGCCCCTGTTCGGCCCCAGGCGGCCTCTATGGGGCTCCTCTAGGGAACCAGGGCCGTACTCCAGATTTCGTAATAAAAGGGAGGGGGTCTGGACCCTCAAAGACAAGCCATTTCAGACCCCCCCCCGTGGGAGAACCCTCCAAAACATCGTCCCCAGACCCCCCCAGGCCCTCCAAGATAGCCTGGAAGAGACCCCCCCCCAAATGAGACCCCCCTCCCTTTATTACGAAATCTTGAGTACCTTTCTTCACCCCCCTCCCCCATAAGAGCGTGCTGTCTTCCTCGCGAGAATTCGCGCCGCCCGCCGCACCTGCACGATATTTCCTCGCCCTCGCTCGGAGGTCCATTCCCCGTGCACGTTGCGCTTTCGCGCGAGCGGAAGACAATACAAAAATACACTTTTCCGCCGTCGGGGACGCATGGCCCCCCCCCCCGATCGGCTGGAACATGTATGCAGGCATCCCCGACGGCGGACAAAGTAGAGTATAACGCTCTTCGCCCCCTAAATTTTTGGCTTGATGATCCAAGATGCTCCTCGATTTGGGCGCCCGAAATGTCCGGGGTAGCTCGGGCCCGGGGTATCTCGGGCTCGGATTCCCGAAAAACCAACCAGAGTTAGCCCTGACCCGAGTTACGCCTGATGATTCGGAGCTCTGGCCGCCCGAATTCTCAAGGGTAGCTCGGGCCCGGGGCAACTCGGGTTCGGATTCCCGCAAAACCACCCCGAGCTAGCCTTGACCCGAATTGCCCCTGATGATTCGGGGCTCTGATCGATGGCCCTCGCTGAGAAGAAAACGCACACGTCCGAGCGATGCCAAGGAAGGTCGGCTATACGCAAGAGTGACCCTGGGTAAGAGTGACCTTTGGTGCGCGGCTCTTTGGGGGCCGCGGGGGGACCCAACCTGGGCGCGCAGGCCGCTGCTCCTGCTTCGTTCTCAGCCACCTGGGGACCCATCTCTGCCCGCACCAAGGTCACTCCGGCGAAAGGTCACTCTTTAGATGCCTCCTAGATGGGGTCGGAGTAGATGGGGTCGGAGGACCGCGCCGCATCGCCAATACATCGACGATACATCGGCGATGCATCGGCGATGCATCAGCGATGCACCGGTGATGAGGCGTCGACGTCGGCGATGTACCGGCGACGTCGGCGTGGGGAACATCGGGCTCCGCATCGAGCCGCATCGTCGATGCATCGGCGATGCGGCGCGACCCTCCGACCCCATCTACACCCTGCGAAATGCTTAAGAAACCATGGGTTAAGAAATTCAGGGTCTCAGAACTGGAATAAAAACCCAGAACTTCTATCAAAATCTTGGGATTGACATTGACAAGTTAAGAATAATCAAGACTCTGGCCGAAAACTTAGGTTTTCTTAAGCATCGTCTAAGGTGTACTCCGACCCCATCTAGGAGGTCTAGAGACTCTTACGTCCAGTCGAGAAGGGGCCGCCGGCGCCGAGCGAGCGCCGCCGGCGCCGGGGCGGGCGGCCTCGGCGAGCGCCTGGCCCCGGTCCACGGCGGCGGCGCCCCCGGCCTCCGGGCTGCCGCGCGCCGCCGGCGGCGGTGGGCGCCGCAGGCAGGGGGGGGAGTTTTGAGAGCAGGGGCGAGAAAGGAGGGGGCGATAAGTGAGAAGGGCGGGGGGCGATACACGAGGGGCGATGCATGCGAGGGGGGGGGAAGATAAATGAGAGGGCTCCTGGGCGCGAGTCAATGTTGGCGAGCAGGGGCGATCAAGGAGGGGGCGATAAGTGAGAAGGGCGGGGGGCGATACATGAGGTTGGACGCCCGAATTATCCGGGATAACTCGGGTCCGGGGTAACTCGGGTGTGGGTTCCCGAACAACGGACCCGAGTTAGCCCTGACCCGAGTTACCCCTGATGATTCGGGGCTCTGGACGCCCGAAATATCCGGGGTAACTCGGGTCCGGGATAACTCGGGTTTGGGTTCCCGAAAAACGGACCCGAGTTAGCCCTGACCCGAGTTACCCCTGATGATTCGGGGCTCTGAATGAGGGGCGATGCATGAGAGGGGGGGGAAGATAAATGAGAGGGCTCCTGGGCGCGAGTCAATGTTGGCGGCGTATCCAACGGCTCAATATGCGCTGATGGTTCCCATCCGCCCCCGCATGATGTTCCCAGATGCTCCGAGGCAGCGCCGAGGCGCACCGACGCGACTCTGATACATCCCATTCTGATAGAGGGTGCCGGCGGCAGGGGGCGAAGCCCTTACGGATCCGACCGCTCCCGCCCTGCGGGTTGGGCCGTGCGAGACCACTCAGACGAAGTGCCTGGTAGGATTTGCCTGGGCCTGGTAAAAATCTACCTGAAGTCCCTCGTGTGGGCCTCCACTCTGTCGGTGGTCCCTCCCGGACACCCGCGACGAGAAGCTTTCAAGAAATCCCAAGGGCCCCAGGACGAATCTAAAGAGCCCCAAGACGGCCCCCACAAGGGTCCAAGAAGGCTCCACGTCGCCGACAGACCGCCCCAAGACGCCCAATATGGCCTTGAGACGGTCCACGAGGCCCCCAAGACGCCCCAAGAGAGCTTCAAGAGGCCTTCCGAGAGAAGGCCCCGAAAGGCAAACATTGTCCCATTCCAAGGGAAACGTTCACTTTTAGCATGTGCGACTTTCGGGATTCTAAGCGTCCACGACGAGCCTACAAGCCCACAAGATCGCCCCAAGATCGCCCCAGAGACTCCGAAGAGGCCCCCAGGACGTGCCAAGACGGTCCCAAGACGGCCCGAGTCGCGCTGGAGACGGCCCATGACGGCCCCAAGAGGGCTCTAGAGCCAGAACTCGAAATTACATTTCCAGCTTTCTGCCCAAACGTGACCTCCCAGACCGCTGGCAGGCCTCCAAGAAGCTCCAAAGAGGCCCAACAGAGGCCCCAAGAGGCCCCCAAACGGTGCCCAAGAGCCCCAAGAGCCCCCAAGGAGACTTCAAAACTGCCTCCAAGAGACTACCGACCAGATGCGTCAAACTCCCAGGGAGCGGCTGGTCATGCGCCGCCGGCGTTCTCGATAAAACCTGGCGTCTTAAGAAAAAACGGTTCCAATCAGAAGTGGTCTAAGAACACTTGGTGCAAACCGCAACAGGTTGTTAGAGGACTCTTCGGTGGGCCTATCAGAGTCATGACCTTTCGCCACTTTTTGGAAACTTAGGTGTTTTCGTGAACGTCTTTGTCGGTTCCCGGAGGATCTCCAGCCTCGTGGTGCCTTCCATCAAGTGCGCCTTGTCGAGAGCGTTCCGGGGGTGCCAGATTCGTCCCGAACGGCCGCCGTGGAGCCGAGCTATGATTAGGTCGGGCCTGTCCTTGTACACTGGGATTTTGGGCGAAACAATAAAAATACTTGGAAAGTAATCCCAAAATGTTCAAAAATAGTCAAAACATCGTCCCCAGACTATTTTTTTAAAAAAACTATTTTTGAATATTTCTCCTGTAGAGGGACAAGCCCGACTTCAAGCTGACCCGGAAACCAACACGGCCTCCCCAGACCTTCGAGGTAGTGAGCAATTCGGCACGTCCTTTTCCCAAACATCCTGTGGTGCTGGGCCCTCGCTTTGAAAAGAAAGTCCCCGCGTCGCCAACTCTCCTTTCCTCCTCCATTTTTTCTTGCGCAGGCTGCTGAGCGATCCAGGCGGTCGTAGCGTCAGACTTTCCTCCTCCTCCTCCTCCTCCTCCTCCTCCCGCTCCTCCCTCCTGCAGTCACCCCCCTCACTTTGGCACACCCGCACACGTCTCGTGGCCCCATAAGGAGCTCCACCTGGCATGGTTCGCATGCCGCTTGGCATACCCCTCACACGTTTCATGGCCCCATAGGGAGCTCCACCGGAGGCCCCAGGGGCACGGTTCGCATGCCGCCACCCCCCTCCAGTTTGGCACACACCCCTCACGCCTATCGTGGCCCCATGGGAAGCTCCACCGAAGGCACCAGTGGCATGGTTCACATGCCGCCACCTGTCCACTTTGGCGCAACCCTCACACTTTTCGTGGCCCCATGGGGTGCTCCACCGAAGGTCCCAGTGGCATGGTTCGCATGCCGCCCCCCCCACTCCACTTTGTCGTGGCCCCATAGGGAGCTCCACCGAAGACCCCAGTGGCATGGTTCGCATGCCGCACCCCCCCCCCACTTTGGCATACCCCTCACACGTTTCGTGGCCCCATATGGAGCTCCAGCGAAGGCACCGGTTGCATGGTTCGCATCCTGCCTCCCCTCTAGTTTGGCACAACCCTCGCACCTTTCGTGGCCCCATGGGGAGCTGCACCTAAGGCCCCAGTGGCATGGTTCGCATGTCGCCCCCCCCCCCTCCACTTTGTCGCAACCCTCACACGCTTCGTGGCCCCATAGGGAGCTCCACCGAAGGCCCCAGCGGCAGCGCCCGCATGGCAGCCCCGCCGCATTGCGGCGCACCCTTCGCGCGCTTCGTGCCCATATAGAGCTCCACCGAAGGCAATTCTGATTGGGTCCTTCGCCAGGATGGTGTTTGGTAGTTTTCGGCTTCTGAGGGCCCTCGCTGAGCCCTGGGGCCGTGGCAACTGCTGTTCCTGCTCCTGCTTCTCCTGCTGCTGCCGCTGCCCCGTTTTCTTCTTCCTCTTTCTCCTCTTTCTCCTCCTCCTCCTTCCCCTCTTCCTCCTTCTCCTTCTCCTCCTCCTTCTCCTCCTTCTCCTCCTCCTCCTGCTCCTCCTCCTCTTCCTCCTCATCCCTCCCATTCTCCACCTCCTTCTCCACCACTTCCTCCTCCTCTTCCTCCTCCTCCTCCTCCTCCTCCTCCTCCAACCCGCCCCCTCCTCTTCGCCCTCCTGCTCCTTCTCACTCCTCCCTCCTCCTGTTCTCTCCTCTCTCCTCTCTCCTCTCTCCTCCTCCTCCTCCTCCTCCTCCTCCTCCTCCACCTCTGGCTCCTCCGTGTATTACTCTCCACTTCCTCCCAACCTTCTCCTCCCCCTCTTCCCCACCCTACCATTTGCCTCCGCTCCGACGAACTTATTTCTGTAGGCCCCAACCTCTGGACCTCTGGGCCCCCTTCCACGGGGCCAATTCGTCAGCCCAGGCTGTCTCGCGACGCTCCCGCGGCCCAGAAGGCTGCCTCTAGACGCCGACATCGGCGACAAAAACTTCACAGCGCGATTTCCCGAGTCGCCAAAAATGCCTGGGCCGCTAGGCAGGCCTCGCGGAATATTATAGCACCCCGCAATTGCGGAAAAGAGTGAGGGGGCGGGCGCGGGCGACGCGGGCGTCGAGCCAGCGGACCACGTGGACCTCACCTTCCATGTCGATGGCGCCCTCCTCTTCCTCCTCCTCCTCCTCCTCCTCCTCTTCCTCCTGCTCCTCCACCTCCTCCTCTTCCTCGTCCGCGTCCTCGTCCTCATCGTCGTCGTCGTCGTCGTCCGCCTCCTCCTCCTCCTCCTCTTTCACCTCCTTCTCCTCTTCCTTCTTCCTCCTCCTCCTCCTCCCCCTCCTCCAAGAGCTTGGATGGGCAGAGCTTGAAGAGGTCTTGGGGGGCTCAGACGGCATGCAAAATCTGCCGCCGCGCTTGTGCGGCACTGGCGTGCTGTGTGGTAGGGTTCGCGGACGCCCCCCTCAGGAGGGTCCTTGAGCGCCCCGAGGCCCCTCAATAGTGGGCGCCTTGAGGCAGCTTCCCCTAAACCCAGGCTTTGGGCACGGATGCCGAATTGCAGCAGGCAACTGGATTGTCAATGAAAGTGTTCAGACAGCCCCGCCGCAGGCGCCGATGTGCTGTTGTAGGGTCAACGTGGGCCGGATCGGGGGAATGGCACGAAGGCGCTTTCCCAAACCAATGCGAGCAAGCCCGCCGCAAGCGCCGATTTGCGTGCTCTGACAAGTTCAGCGCGGGGGGGATCGCTGGTGGGCCACCCGGAAAGAATGCAAAAACAGCCCGCCGCAGGCGCCGAAGTTTTGGCTTGTTCAGTGAACGTAGTTTGGGTCGCGGGTGGGTCGCAGGCTCTCCACCTCCACCTGGAAGGAATTCAAAAACAGCCCGCCGCAGGCGCCGAACATTTTGATTTGTACACTGAACGCGGTTTGGGTCGCGGGTGGGTCGCAGGTTCACCACCAGGAACGAATGCAAAAGAAGCCCGCCGTAGGCGCCGAAAATTTTGGGTGGGTCGCGGGGTAGGTCGCGGGTGGGTCGCGGGGCGGGTCGCGGGGGGGACGACGACAACAAACAACAAACGACAACAAACACCAACAACACCACCGCCACCACCAACAACAACCACAGCAACAACAACATCAGCAACGAACACAACAACAATAACAACAAGAGCAGCAGCAGCAGCAACAACAACAGCAACAGCAACACCAACAACAACACCAACAACAGCAACAACAGCAACAACAACACCACCAACAACAGCAGCAACAACAACAGTATCAACATCAACAGCAACAACAACAGCAGCAACAACACCAACAACAACAGCAACGGCAACAACAACAACACCAACACCAACACCAACAACAACAACATCACCACCACCAACAACACCACCCAAACCAACAACAACAACAACAACCAACCAACCAACCAACCAACCAACCAACCAACCAACCAACCAACCAACCAACAACCAACAACCAACAGCAACAACACCACCAACAACAACAAGAATCCGCATCGCGGAATTCCACTTCAGCCACGCACCCAGGGACAGTGAATGACCGTTCGGTTCAGCCCCCTCACTCTGACAAACTTCCCACCAAAGCTGCCTGGAACACCTTCAATGACCCCTGTGCCGTCAGACCTTGCCTGCGGGAGGGAGACAGTGGACCCCGAGATCCGACGTTGCGACCAAATTGCAACACCATGGAAAAACACGACCGCAACCCAGTACACAATTTTTCCGCACGTCCTTCGACCTGGATCGATATGTGATGCCCCCGGGGCCCGAAACTGGGCGGAAACGTCCGGCGTGAAACAACTCCGTCGGCCGGATCTCACGGCACGCTCCCGCCCCGTCCCCCTCCCCCCTTGGGCAGCGAGTCCGGCCACGCCTGCTGCTCCTGCTCCTCCTCCTCCTCCTCCTGCTCCTGCTCCTGCTCCTGCTCCTGCTCCTCCTCCTCCTCCTCCTCCTCCTCCTTCTCTCTCCTCCTCCTCCTCCTCCTCCTCCTCCTCCTCCTCCTCCTCCTCTGTCTTCTCTCCTCCTCTCTCCTCTCTCCTGGCAGGCGGGCCTGGGCGCCTCGTCCTGCTGCTCCTCCTCCTCCTCCTCCTCCTCCTCCTCCTCCTCCTCCTTCTCCCTCTCCTCTCTCCTCTCTCCTCTCTCCTCTCTCCTCTCTCCTCTCTCCGCTCTCCTGCTCCTCTTGCTCCTGCTCCTGCTCCTGCTCCTGCTCCTGCTCCTGCTCCTGCTCCTGCTCCTCCTCCTCCTCCTCCTCCTCCTCCTCCTCCTCCTCCGCCTCCTCCTCCTCCTCTCTCCTCTCTCCTCTCTCCTGGCGGGCGGGCCTGGGCGCCTCCGCCGCTGGCCTGCTGCGGCGTGGCCTGCTGCGGCGTGGCCTCGGCCGAGGGGGCCGCGGGCCGCGGCGGCTGCGGCTGGGGGCTCCACAGCGCGGGCGGCGAGCTGGGCTCCAGGCGCCTCGCTCGCGGGGGCTCGAGCTCTGGAGGGCGAGGGGAAACGGCAGGGCGGGGAGGCAGAGGGGAGCCTCCTCATCCTCTTCCTCCTCCTCATCCCTCTGCTCCTCGGTCTCTCGTTCTGCTCGCAGGCTGACCTGGGAGATGCGCAGCTTCTCCTCGCTCCGTTTACCCTGCCTCCTCCTCTCCCCTCCTCTCTCTCTCTCTCCTCCACTTGTTTCTCCTCCTCCTCCACCTCCTCCTCCTCCTCCTCCTCCTTCATGTCCTACCCCTCCTTCCTGCCCTCCTCCTCCTCCTCCTCCTCATTTTTCCTGTCCTCCCCCTTCTTCCTGCCCTCCTCCTCCCTCCTCCTCCTCCTCCTCCTCCTCCTCCTCCTCCTCCTCCTCCTCCTCCTCCTCCTCCCTCCTCTCTCCTCTCTCCTCTCTCCTCTCTCCTAGCGGGCGGGCCTGGGCGCCTCTGCCGCCGCGAGGCCGGCGGCCAACGGCGCGCGGCTGGGGCTGGCCGCCGGCTGCAGGCGGGCCTCCCCCCGAGGTGCGGCACGCGCCTCCGCCTTGTCCTCCTCCGCCTCCTGCCTGCTCCAGCTCCCTCCTCCCCCTCCTCCCCCTCCTCCTCCTCCTCCTCCTCCTCCTCCTCCTCCTCCTCCTCCTCCTCCTCCTCGAGACTGAACTCTGGGGGCGAGAGGGAGGATAGGTGGAAGTTGACGACTGCGTGTGCGGAAGCCGTGTGGAAGTACATCAAGGTCGCCCCACCCAGTGTCGAGCTCCGTATCCGACGGCTACGCCACTTTCAAGCTCTCGCCCGCCGTCCCCAACGGCATGTTCAGGAGCTGGCCACTGTTTTCGGGAAGGTTGCCTTCGAGATCGCCGAGATCCAGACTTTTTCGTGGGCGCCGCAGTGTGCCCAGCAAGTTCCCCCAACGGACCGCACGAACCCATGGGCCCTGCAGTTCAAGAATGACCTGCTTCTCTTGGGCAAACTTAGAGGCGGCACTGATTTCCTGGACGACGTAGGGGACGACCACATGAGGGTCTTCCTGGATGAGGGGTTGACGCAGAGGTTTCTCGGGTTCAACGTCGCGAAGCTTCGAAACATCTGGCTTGCTAGTCCAAGTATCACGCCGACCAAACCATACGAGGATCAGGAGTGCTTCGAGGGCGGGTTTCCGTGCTCGCTGATCGACGGGGAGGGGATGGAGTGCAACCGTAGGTTCAAGACTATCGGTGCTCTGCGCGCCCATCAGACACACACGGGAGGAGGTGAGCACGGACGCTTGAATTTCTTCACGCGCATGACGGTGTCGAACCAGTGCCCTTCGTGTCAGTCGTCGCTTGCATGTAGGAGGACAACCATCAACCACATCGCGGCAGCATATCGGAACGGACGATGCATTGCAGACTTTTCGGTATTCAATCACCCAGTCGTCCCTCCGCTGCCGTTTACCTGCCCAGAGACCGATTGTGGCGCCGACTTTGAGGACCTTCCCGCACTCCAGTCCCGCATCAGGGAGCGATGTCGTGGATGCAGGGGCTCCAACGAAGAGCGCCCTCGGATGCAGGGGCTCCTAGATATCAAGGAGGGCGACAACGAAGAGCGCCCTCGGAAGACCGCGACGGGTGGAGGGCGAGAAAGCCGCGCTGCACGAGCGGCCAGCCTCGGCAGGAGAAGGGAAACAGCGAGAAGGAGAAGGCGGCGCCGAGGAAGGACACGAAGCTGGTAGACTTGATTTGGACGCCCGAAATGTGTACGGAAACAATGGGTACGATGCCCAACAGCGGTTCCTGTTCATTTTGAACAGGACTCGCTGTCGGTGTCGCCGCGGCCTGTGTACATTTGAGACAGGAGGCCGCCTGCCCAACAGCGGCCGCTGTTGGTTTGGGACAACATTTGTTGTTGGGCATCGTCCCCATTTTTCGGTACCCATGTC